TGTACCTAGTGCAAGTTTTGTGTTTCCATTTCTATTTCTACAAAGCTTACAAAAATGAAGGATTGTATTTTCATTTTCGTCACATCCTAACCATGTATAATCATGAAACAAATTTCTATTAATAGTTTTTCTTTGATGTGTTTGGTTGTTGGACATTTTTAAATGAATAAATTGCAATAAATACTTGTTCTTTTTTTAATTTAGATTTTTTATCAATTTGAAATATTGAGTTTTAAAAAACCTCTTGTATTTATAATAATTATATATTGATTTATTGTTTAACAAAAATGTAATTATACCCAAAAACATCAATGATTTATTGTTGACAAAAGTATTATTTTTTTTCAAAAAACAAATATTATGCCTGAAAACATCAATGATTTATATATAGTTAACAAAGTATTTGTTTTTTTTTCAAAAAAATGAATATTATACCCGAAGACATCAATGAATTATTGTTAACAAACATTGAAATTATTATTTTTGTTTATTTTTATTTTCAAAAAAAATAGAATTATACCCGAAAACATCAATGATTTATCATTAATAAAATTATTATTTTTTTCAAACAAATGAAAATTATACCCGAAAACATCAATGATTTATTGTTAACAAAAGTATTATTTTTTTTTCAAAAAACAAATATTATGCCTGAAAACATCAATGATTTATATATAGTTAACAAAGTATTTGTTTTTTTCAAAAAAATGAATATTATACCCGAAGACATCAATGATTTATTGTTAACAAACATTGAAATTATTATTTTTGTTTATTTTTATTTTCAAAAAAAAAAATAGAATTATACCCGAAAACATCAATGATTTATTGTTAACAAAAAATGGAAGAATTACGTATTTTGTTACACGAATTTTCTGCACAAATCCTGCTAATAGATTATTGGCTACCTTTAATGTAGCACAAACCCCGGCATAAAATTTCCAACACTGGAGGACAGTTTTGGTTTTGTGAAATCATAGTGTGTAACATTCGTATTGAACCCCCTGACCCCTAGGTGATGATCTTCAAAAATCATGTGACCATAAAATTTTTATTGCATTTTTGATTGGAAATTTTTTCTCAAAATTGGCCACTGTGGCGCAGAAAGTTGTGGGACTAAGTGATTTGCACCATACGCAATTTGTTTGTTACCTTTTCTTTCTCCAAATTCTAGTAATGCATCCTGCAATTTCCTATACTGCTCTTCCCAATTCTTCTTCTCCTCCTTCAACCTCTCTTCTTCTTTTTCTTCTCCTCCTTTTCCTCTTCACTAATGTCATTCCTTCTTGTCTTTCTCCTCAGCATTTTCAGCCACTGCACATCATCCTCTCCTTCTTTGAACTTTTCCAACTTCTCCACTGCCTTCCTGTATTCTTCAAGTGCAATGTTCAATTGTTGTTCAATTTTTTCAAACGTAGTAGTCATTTTAATTTAAAATAAAAAAAGGATTTTTAAAATTAATTATTTTATTGATTTAGATTGTAATTGTTACAATTAATTGTTTCTATAAATAATTTGGACCAATGATAAATTAATGGGCACATGACTTGCAATTTGTTTTTTACAGACAAATGAATTAAACAATAAAAGAAATGATTTTTATTTTAATTCAACTAATAATAGAAATAAATAATTTATAAAAATATAAGTAATCCTTTATTTTCTTAGATAAGCTTCCAGTGTCTGAGTATCATTTATTTTGAAAATATAAGGAGCGATTTTCTCACCTTGTTCTTTCTTCAAAATACTTCTAATGGTGCTGTAATTTTTTGGTTCCATAGTAGACCTAATGTAAATGAGTTTCATATTATTATTTTTGTATAGAGGTGGTTCTATATATCACTTAAGGTAACAAATGGGATATCATAAAACTGTTAATTATATAATCACATTACAAATGACTAAATTTTGAACCCTGAAGTCCTTGGTAATACCAATGTTCACTTTGTCTGGTTTTGTTGCAGCATACCCCATTTAAAAATTTTCTAATTTAAGTAATCATTTCTCTTTATTAGAAAGATTTTCCAGAATACTCTTACCACACCTACCTCTGTCACACGAATCCCAACCCAGAACCCCATGATTGGTAGAAAATAAGGAAATCTTATCTTAAAAAAACCTTGTTGTGTAACTGAGGTAGGTGTGGTAAGAGTTTTCGATTTTCCATATCACAAAAATTTTTTAAGCCAACCATACAATTACATAATTTTCTAATACTAATAAAATGACTGATGGGAATGAAGCTTATGTCTTTAGCTTTAATTTTATTGTTGGTTTACTTCTTTTCTTTTTTAATAAGGAGTTATAAGCTTTTAAAGTCATGTGATAATCATTGACTGTTATAGATGTCCTGCACTATAAAACATAATTATTTTATTCTATATGGATATAATATATAAAGATTGATAGGTTTCTTTAAATAAAAAATGTATTTTGATAATAATAATAATAAAAGATGATGATGACATAAATTTCCGTTTTTTAATTTTTTCTTACCACACCTACCTCGGTTACACGACAAGGTTTTTTTAAGATAAGATTTCCTTATTTTCTACTAATAATGGGGGTTCTGGGTTGGGATTCGTGTAACAGAGGTAGGTGTGGTAAGAGTATTCACATTTGCTTCGCAAAATGGTAACACACTAGTCACGGGGAATGACAACCTCTGTGATCTTATTTAATTAGATTACAAAGCTAAAATTGGTGTAATGTGTACTAAGAACCCTGAACACACTGAAACCATTTTGGTATAATAATAATGGTAATTAGTATCAGTAAAAAATATTTATTAAGCTTTTAAAATCATGTGATTTTTATGTGGGAACCCAACAGACCATCAATCCATGTGATCGGTATTACTAATTGCAATTCTATTAGCCATATATGTATAATATTTGTAAAAATAATTTTGTGAAGATTATGTTAAACGAAAATAGATTGGTCTGGCCTTAACAATACTAATTACTGTTTCGGATTAATACGTAATTACGGCGCAGCCATTAATAAAAATATACTAGATATAGTTAAATCTTACACCAATAGATCGGTATCGTATGTACTGTATGATGATACAAAAAAAAATTATTTTCTGGGAAAAAATATCTCGTATTATCGTAGAACAATATATTAATATATAGTGGATAGTAATAGATAAATATAAAGCAATGACGGAAAATCAAAAAATCTTTAAAATGTTTGAAGAATATAATTTTGAGTCAGATGATAATTTTCAGGTAGTTTTTAAAATATCAATAATTTATTAAATAATAACTATTGTAATGTTAATATTATTTTTATCAGACAGGTTTACCAACAATTGTTGAATTAAATAAGGATAAACCAAAGAAAGAAATTGATTCTATTATAGAAAAGGCAAAATGGTTTTATTTTTGCAAGTAACTAATTAATTAATTTTTGGTATTTAACAAAAAAAGAAGAATTAATTTTTTTTAAGTTATAATTAATCTTTATTTTCAAGGATTGTTCAACCTTTTGATTACAATGATTATTTAAAATGGAAATCAAATGAATCTTCTAATAATAATGATAATAATAATAATAGGAGTAGTGATGATGATAATAATAATAATAATAATAATAATAATAACAATAATAGTAATGATGATGAAAATACACTTGGTGAAAATTACAATTAATTGTCCTTTATTTTTTTTATTTTTATTCAACTAATTAATATTTTTCAATAGATTTACAAATTAATAATAATAATAATAGTATTAATAATCATAATGATGATATAAAAAAGTCTAATGACAACAACAGCAACAACACTGATCCTACTAATAGCAACAATGATTTACAATATCCAAAAACTTTTCAACAAATATGTGAGATGATTGCTAAAGGACAACAAATTCCAGGCAATAACTATTAAAGTCATTGAATTTAATTTTATCAATTAATAAATTCAATATTAATTATTATTATTATTATTATTATTATCATCATCATCATCATTATTATTAGGTATTAGAATGATACCTAATAGAATCAATCAAGATCCTCCAACTTCTTCAAATCTCAAACCAAAACCAAAACCTTGGGAAAAAAATTAAGATTGCATACATTTATTTATTTACATTACTGGGAGACCCAAACTAATTCACGTCCTCTTATTCGATATTGTCACATTTTGAAAGTATTGTGCTTGAAAAATAAATAAACAATTTAATTTTTTATATTGAATGTAACGAACCAATAATACAAATTTATTTATTTATTTTTTATTCGTCGTGTAAAAAAAAGTAACATTGTACAATTGTAACGATAATTTTTTTTGTCAAACTAAGTGTGCATTGTCAAATAAATTAAAACACATTCACTTTTACTTTCGAAAATAATAAAAAAAAAAATTTTTTTTATAATAAAATTGTTATTTTTAAAATTTAATACCAACAACATTAATAACTAATTAATTATACTCAATATGACGACTATTGCTGAACCTCAAAAGGTACATTAATTTTTTATTAAAAAAATAATTCCACCTATTTATAACGTAATTTAAAGTAATCAATCATTCAACGATACATTATTAACCTTTAATGACAACATTAATAGGTGACTCTCAATGGCTATGTAGGGTTTGATAGTATTACTCGACAAATTGAAAAGAAGTTACTTAAACGTGGTTTCCAATTCAATATTATTGTAGTTGGTAAGTTTGTTATTAGTTGTTATATTTTTTTATTTTATTAACAAGAAATTTATAGCTAATCTTTTATTTAAATATTATTAGGACAAACTGGACTTGGTAAATCAACCCTTATTAATACTATTTTTGCTGCACATTTAATTGATAGCAAAGGACGTACTAGTGCTGAAGAGCCTTTTAGACAAACCACCGAGATTCAAACAGTATCACATTGTTAGTATTAATCTAACAAATCTTATTATTTTTAGTATTTAGGATTTCAGAATTAAATTTTTTTTTAATGATTGTTAAAATAGTAATTGAAGAAAATGGGATTCGTTTAAGATTGAATATAGTTGATACTCCTGGATATGGTGATCAAGTCAACAATGAGAATTGGTAAAAAAAATTATAAATAGGATCAAAAATACTTTTTACTTTTCTAGGATATTATAAATCTAATACATTTGTTGATATTATTTAAATTATAACCATGGTTACTAGTTGGGAACCGATCATCAAATATATTAAGGACCAACATAGCGCTTACTTACGTAAAGAGCTTACTGCTACACGCGAAAGATACATTCAAGACACCAGAATTCATTGTTGTTTATTTTTTATTGCTCCAACTGGGCATGCGTATGTATAATACCATGTTTAATTTTATTTTATCAAAAGTAACATTTACTAAAATCTATCTCGTTTTTTTCTCAAAGACTTAAACCAATTGATATTGTAGTACTTAAAAAACTTTCCGAAGTTGTCAATGTAGTTCCTGTTATTGCAAAATCGGATTCTCTTACAATGGAGGAACGTATTAATTTCAAAGAAAGAGTAGGTCATTATTTCATAATCTAATAATTATGTGTGTTAAATATCGAGTATTTTATAAATTATCATCATCGTCATTTTTATTATAGATAAAGTCAGAATTGGCTTTCCATAACATTAAATTATATCCATATGATAGTGATGAACTTGATGATAAGGAGAAAGCACTCAATGAACGTATCAAGGTAAATTTCAAGAGTAATTAATAATTAAATGGTTCCATTAAAAGTAAATTCATTTTTTTCACAAACCTTTTTCCCACAACATCATTTATTTAGCAAACAATCCCATTTGCGATTGTTGGTTCTGAGAAAAATGTTGTAATTGATGGCAAATCTGTTCGCGGACGTAAAAATAGATGGGGTGTTATTAATGGTAAATTGACTCTATCAATATATATATATATATATATACACATACATATATATACATATGGTTTAAATAACATTATTTTACTTATTTCAATTAGTTGAAAATGAAAATCATTGTGAATTTGTTCATCTTAGAGACTTCCTTACGAGGTGAGACTTCAAAAATAATTTTTAAATTAAAAATAATTGACTAAAAACAAATAATTAATCAAAAAATAAATAAATAGAACTCATCTTCAAGATCTTATTGAAACCACTGCTCAAATTCACTATGAGGCATTCCGTTCTAAACAATTATTAGCTTTGAAAGAATCTAGTTCTAAACAGAATGAACAACAACAATCATCATCACAAGCTCCACAATCACCTGTTGGATCTAGTAACTCTGTTATTTAAATTTATTAGTTAGATGGGTAGTTAAAATGTTAAAAAAATAAATAAATAATAAATTAGAATTAATTTGGGGCAAAATATTTTTTTAGATTATGAATTTTAGATTTTTGTATTTTTTTAAATTTATTTTGAATTTAGTTTTAATTAATATTTTAATTTTATAATTTTATTTTTATTCTATTTAATATTATTAATAAGTTAATCACTAATAAATATTTATTTTGTGTTTATGTGAATATTAATCAATTATCACATAAACATGACTTCAATCAGGTTTAGTAATTAATCGATTGATTCCAATTAATTGTCATGATCAAAATTTTACAATAATTGCTACTACTTTTGTTAGAAAAGTATATTTCAAATTGAAAGATGGAAATGTTAATAAAATGTATCAATCCTGAAATCCATAATAATAAAGACATATTAGTTGATACTGATGCTTTATATCTTATGTGCTGAACAATTGAATCAGTAGGAGTAACAACAATTCAAATATTCAGAGCTGAAAGAGAAACTTAGTGGTGGAAGCATTTAATATTAATAAAGTCACCACCCAAGATCGAATCTTTGCTTGATCTGTAGAAGGTTGTTAATAATAATAATTAAGATAATATTAGCGAAGAATGATTTACATATTGATTTGAATGGATGCAAGATATTGTTTAGGCTGGATCCTGGAAGGAGAGATCTGTTTGTAACAGTGAGTTCAAATAAAAAAGCTGTGAGTTGTTCAAACGAGAAATACCGGAGCTTGGCATGGTTGGTTCATGCTCGCAAAAAACGTGAGATGAGCTATATTTAATTTATATCCAATTTACGGATAATAAATAAGAAATCATATTATTTGCATACCTAATGAACTCAATGAACCTTAAAGGTCCAACATCTGCTGTCATTAGTGTCTATGAATATGATTCTTATCACCTATTTTATCTTGATGTAATCCTAGACTTCTATGTTAGCGTTATTTGCAATAAAAACCAAAGATCAATAACAGAAAGCCTTTGATGCTTTGTGCAAGAGAATAACAGATGGTAATCCTAGTACACTAGTAGAATTTGACGATGGTAAATTCCCATCAACAACACGTAGGTCCAGAAACTTCGTCATGAACTCTCTAAGCACTGCAGGGTGGGTGGTTGATAATCATCAAAATTATGCATGGATGGATGGTCTGTCAGAGTTTGCAAATCAATCTGTTCGACACATTGGAGCGAATGCTGAACATTTTTTTACGCATGAAGATTTACAATTACAATAGATCATTCATTTATAACCTGGACCCTTTCCCGATTTAGTGTAACAAGTAAATTAAACACAATCAATAAAATCAAAAATTTATCATTTATTTAAAAAAAAAAATGTTTAATCCGTTTCGAAAAGTTATTATTAACACGCTAACTAAAGCTAATTTATCAAAAAACCACAAATATTATAAACTAGTTCGTTATTACAAAAAAAGTTCAAGCCCGATTTCTGATGTGAAAACCATTGAAGAACTTGAAGATATTACTTCATACAACAGAACATCACCAACTTTGAGTGCTTTTGCAGAACGCTTAAAGATAAAATTTTCAGATCCAAATCTCCTCATACAAGCAATTACTCATGAATCATACGAAGATGAAAATTTTCCTTCGAATTCAAAACTTGCAATTTTAGGTATTTTATATTATTGATGTTGATGTGTATAATAAAATAACATTTTTGATTTTCTTTCCTTTTTAAAAAATTTTTTTACTTATTAGGAAATAATTCACTTGGTTTGTATGTTACCGAATATTTTCATACGAAATATCCGCTTGTACCATTACAATATCTACAAAAAATCATTTCTTTGTATTGTGGAGTTGATACTTTAGCTACCTTTGGTCAAGAAGTTGGACTACAACATGTAGTACGTTTTAAAAAAGTGAGTACCAAGGCAACAACAAAAAACTATGATTTATCGTTAATTTCGTTATTTCATTTAATATCTTACGCGTTAAATTTTAAATTTAGACAACACAAGAAGAAATATATAATTTGGATCAATCGGATAAAGCATATTTAGAAAAAAAAAAATCATGGATGAAAACTAGTTTAAGACTTACAGTTACTAATTCTTTAAAAGCTATAATTGGTGCTTTATATTTAGACAAGGTTTATATGTTATGCCTCTCTTTGATAATTAACGTATTAATGAATCAGATCAATTAATAAATTATTTAAAAATTTTTTTTGTATTAGGGGCCTGATTCAGCTAGAAAATTTATTCATGATTATTTGTTAACTAGAGATATAAATGTGCTTGATATTTATGACGTTAAAGAACCAAAAAGAGAATTATCAGCTTTGATGAAAAAATTAAAAAGAGAAAGTCCAATATCTAGGTTTTGATTAAGCATTTTACCTTTGCTACTATTTTATAATGGAATTTAATCATAATAGAACAAGTTATCATTGATTAGGTATTCACAATTACACATTATTAATTCAATTTATCGTCCTTTTGTAGATTGATATCAGAAACAGGTAGAAAATCAAACGCACCTGTATTTATTATTGGTGTATATTCTGGAATAGATAAAATTGGTGAAGGATTTGGAAGTAGTATAAAAATGGCAGAATTTAGGGTTAATTTATAATATTTTTATTTTGTGATGATTGTCACTCTTTAAAATTATTGTGTATTTGTAATAATGATAATTATAATTATTATTATTATAGGCATGTAAAGACGCTTTAGAAAAATATTATTTTCAAGAGATAAAGGATTTTACACTACCTTCAACTATAAATACTTCCCATGAAGAAAAAAAGTATTTACCAACAAAAATTGGTGACACTCCTGCAAAAATTTGAAAAATAAGCAAATAAATAATATTTTTATATAAAATTCCAACTTGTTTTAATATTTATGATACAAAATAAAATACAAAAAATAAGAGATAAAGGCTATAAAAAAAAAAAAAAATTCTTTTATATAGGAAATAATAATTTATTACACGGTCAATATTTATTCAAGAATCAAACCTAAAAAATAGATATATATGTAATAAAATTGTCTAATAAAATTTGCATTACTATTACGTTAATTAAGTTCAATTAATGGTGCTTCTTCAAATTTTTGAGATTGTTGTTGATGTACGATTAAATGGGAAGAATCATTTTGTTGATAATCTGGGTTTTGTATTTGAGTATATCTAAATGTAGAGGTATATATATTTTTTATAAATCGATAAAATATAAAATATAAAAAATGAAAAAAAAAAATGAAAAAATTATTTACCCAGAATTAGGTTCGAAAATTGGTTGTGGTAAATAAGAAACATTATTTTGCGGTAAAAAATTTTGAACATTGATCGCTGCTGATGATTGGGGGGATAACGATGCATTATAATCATCATTAATAACACCATGATCATTGGTGATAATATTAGTTGAAATGGGTAAGAATGTTTGATTTGGAAGATGTGCATTTGAGACATACGGAATTTGTTGTGATTCTAATTGTTGATTAAGAACTGGAGCTATTTCTAATGCATTAGGCTGCGTATATTGTGTGAGAGGTGTTTGTGCAAAGATATAGGCTGAGGAGGGTGAAGGTGCTGAAGCTAAAGGATATGTCGGGTTTTGAGGATACGAATTAACTGAAGAAAGAGATGATGATGGTTGTTGCATTGATGGATAAACTATTCCTGCGTTGGATGATACTGGTGAAATAATTCTTTGTGTACCAGCATAGTTAGAGGTACGACGTGAATATGTGTTAGACATCCTATCCTCCAAAAGTCGATCATATAATTTGATAACTTGAGATAATTTTTCATGCATTTCCATGAGATCCTCTATAAATTAAATATTATATTAATAAATTATCTTGAACCTATTTTATTTTTAAAAAAATTATACAAATCAACTTACGATGCCTTTGTATTGTTTCTGTCAAGTTCTTTGTTAGCTTTGGCTTTAATTCACCAATCCTATCATATAATTCCTAATCAATAAAAGAAAAAATCGAAGGTAAGAAATCTTTTTAATTGGTCGAATAAGCATATCATATGGAGCCAAAAAACCAAAATAATAATTAACTTGAACTTGTCGATCTCTTATCAAATCTGAGCCACTTTGTTGTATTTTTTCAAGTAAATCTGAGAATTTATAAATGTTATCTGCTTCAATTTGTGATAATTCGTTTTGATCCTTTGGCACATCAAAAGGATAGGCAGATGATGATGATTGATGATCATATTGTGTTTGAGTTGAATATTTGGATTGATCGATCTTTAAGTCTTTAAGAGATGCTGCAATAGCTGCAGCCAAATCATCGTCCATTTCTTCCTCCTTTATATATTTAACAGGGAATAAAAAAATGAGTATATTTAACAATCTTAAATGAAAGTAGATGTGTATTGAGTATTATATATATATATACACAAAATAAGAGTTGCCTACCTGTTTATTAACAGGTTCTGATGTTTTTACTACTTTTTGTTGTTGCTGTTGTTGCTGCTGTTGTTGATTAGATTGTAAATAAACTCCTCGAGTATTATTTTTATTATTTTTAGTTTCTTTAAGAGAAAGTTCTATCGCTTTTTTAAAGTCCTCATCCTCTTCATCGCTTCCTTGAGATGTATGAGTATCATTTCCATTTGTTGTTGCAGAATTTGAATGTAAAGTTGAAGCTGGACCATTTAAAACAGGTTTTGAATCCGCGAGATCAACACTAGCACTGTAAATAATCAAAATTTTGTTCCGATTTAATGAGAAAATACATAAAGCTTTAATAATTTTTAATTTTATAATCTTACCTTTTAGCTTTTGACTGTTTTTTCATAAGGCAGGCGTCACAAACTCTTACTGGTTCGTTTATACCAATGCTAGGCAATGTAGTTGATTTAGAAGAACATTCACCACAGAATGTTTTACCACAATTTCTACAATGATGCTAAATATGATAGGTGAAATGAATAAAAATTTTTTTCAGTTAAATTTTATTAAATTCGATTTAAATTTTAATCTAATCAAAATTAGAAATTTACTTTTCTGTTTAATAAAGTAAATGGAGTTCTGCATCTAACACAGAAATCGCTGTCAGACCATTCTGGTGGCTACGGAAAATGATTATAAAAAAATAGAATTTTTGATGTTATGATTATGAAAATACTTGTAAATTTTATTATTAATCTTAAAATAAAAATCTCCTACTGTGGCAGTATCAATCATCATAATTGATGTGGATTTATCGACTTTTGGAAATACATAACCTATCAATAAATAATAAATAATAAATAATAAATAATAAATACAAGCTTTTTTTTTTTTTAATGTGGAAAGAAATTTCCGATAAATTTGAAAATATCCAAGATAAATAAATAATAAATTTTGTTTTTACCTTCATGTTTCAATAGTCGATACGTTTCGGTTACATACACGAGTTCAGGTTTTCCTTCAAAAGCCAAAGCCCATGTTTGAATTAATCCAAGAAGTTTTTCTTTGACATCATTATTAGATGTGCTCTATAATAAAATCCCCAATGTTTATGAATTATTATTATTTTTATATTAAAAAAAAAATCGCAATTTATAAAACAATCAACGTACAGCCGGTGATCTTACAATTCCCAGTAAACTATCAACAAACTCTCGAGATGCAACTTCAATTAAAAAATGATGCCCGCCATTTTTAACACAAGTGTCCGTTAACTAGGTAAAAGTATATAAATATTATTTTAAATTAATTTTTTTAGAGTAAATAAAATAAAATAGAATAAATGATGATCAATAAATACATACGCTTAAAGCCAAAAGCTGCACGTAAGGGTTAGTGTGTGTTATTTTACGCTTAAGAGCTCTCATGGCATCTTTAGGTTGAACTTGTTTACTACGAATTTGATCGCTAATTTCAAGATTTAAGGCCAAATCTTCTTGTCCTTTCTGAATAGTTTCTGATGTAGCCTTTTCTATTATATTAATAAAATATTGATGGTTCCTTGTAGAGAATTTTGAAATAATTTGACGAAAGCTTTAAAATCAAATATGGAAATTTATAACATACCAACAGACTCGTCAAATGGATTGCTACCAAAAAGTCTTGAAACCATTTTATTTTAATTTATTTAAAATTATATGGGTTATAATTTACGATTTAATAAAAAAATAAATAAAAAATTCAGAATACGACAATGTTTAAAAAAAGCCACCATTGTAAAACAAATTAAATTGATTGGTCTAAATATAATTACGTCATTTTGATCGGTAGGGGATCAAAAAAAAATTTTCTAGAGTACAATAATGTCAAAGCAAACTCAAAACAAAAATAAAACCAAACTCAAATCACGGTTTAATGTTCCTCGTGGCGATACCAACGGGGTTTTTAATGATGATTGGTTGTACTCGGTACTTTCTCCTAAAACAAATCTTTTACAAAGCCTGAGGAAAAATCATGATCTGATTGAGGAAGATTCATATAATTTTGTTAAAATTAAACTTTGCGATTTTGAGATATTGGATGAACAGTAAGTTAGCTGTTATTTTCATGCAGATGTTAAAAAACTTTTATGTACGTTGTTTATACGTTAGTTAAATAAAAAAAAAAGTGATTTAATATGTAGTTTATTGTTTAATGGTTTCTTATAGCGTGATATTTATTTGATCTTTGAATTTTTTAAATCAGAGTTGGTAGATCTTTTCTTCCAAAACCTAAAAATCCTTATTCTATTGTATTGGGTGACTCTGAATCGATCCAATTACCACAATATGAAGCTTTTCCAATCCGTTAGTTGAAATTTTGAAAGTTTCCTTTTTTTTAGTATCTTGATAAAAAACAAAAACAACAAAATATTTATATACATGCGTTCGATTTGTGTATTCTTGATTTAGATGATAAGGTTAAACATAAAGAAGGGTATATTCTTAATGTTGGTGGTTCAGTTTGGGCACTTGACTGGTGCCCCAACAATGATTCTTCCCGTAATATATTTTTAATATTTAATTAAATACAATATTATATAACAATCAATTAATAATAATTATTTTAAATTTTCTTAGAGACTCAATGTATAGCAATAGGCACATACAAGGATACAACGGAGGAATTACATCCAATTGGCCGTCGTCAAAAAGACAATTTAAATTGTGCAATACAATTCTGGAGAATGGATCAACAACAAATCGATGATGACGATGATGATGATAACGACGATGACAACGATGACGATGATAATGATCAGAAAGAAGATAAACAAGTAATTATGGATTTACCAAAGTTAGATCTAGTAATTTGTCATAATTTCGGCAGTGCATTTGATATTCAATGGACTCCTTACGGAGCACAAGACTATTACGAGGTATTTTTTTAAAAATACATGTATGTATATATATTTATGCATATGTATATTTAAAATATATTTTACACTTTATTTAGGAGGGCAAACAAGATGATTCTGTTGATATAATTCCGAAATTAGGGATAATAGCAATATCCTTTGGGTGTGGTCTTATTGGAATTTTTGCTGTTCCTCGGTCAAAATACATTAGGGATAAATTGAATTTATCTAACGACATTGAAGCACCATTATATAGTAACCATAAATGATTTTATTTTTAAAGAGCGTGTATTTAATTCCACATTCTTTATTAAATAAACCTCATCTGATAAAAAAAAATATATAGTAAAGTTTACAAATCCATTATTAACTTTGTCAATTCCGCATGTTATATTTCGTACTATAAGTTGGGGCGGTAATCAAAAAATTGCTGCTGGCTGTACAAATGGTTTGTACAAGTTACACATTAATCATCATTACATTCGAAAAAGAAAAAAAATAATATATTAATGATTAATTAATTAACTAGGTGATATCGCAATATGGAATGTCCAAGAGATTCTTCAAGCAAAATTTAACAACAATATCATTGATCCTGAAGGTTATAAATACATAATATTTATTTAATTCTCAACGAATAAACGTTCCCAGTTTTAGATTATAACAATTAATGTTTATCTTAAAAGTTACATCACCTATTCAATTCTTTCGCGCGCACGATTCATGCATTAGACAAGTAGTTTGGAATTCACATAATGATCCTACACATATCCTAAGTTGTGGGCATGATGGCAGATTACAAATTATTGAAAGTCGAGATCCTTGGATGAAAAATATGTTTCAACGAATTAGATGTAAATCATGTGTATTTTTTTTAATATTACAAAAAACTTGGTATTTAACAATAATATTAACAACAATTGGAATTTTTTTTTTTAATAGCATTTATGATGACTGCATGTTGGCCACATCATTATGGCGGAATAATTTTTCCTGATTCTGAAAATACTGTCAGGTATATTAGAATGGATGATTTAAAAAAATCTACAGGGATAATTATGCATTATGCTCCTATTTGGGTACGTAATAAAAAGATATATATATATATATATATATATATATATAATTATTTTTATTAATAATAATAATGATTGCTGTAAATGCATTATTAGCGAATTTCTGCGTCTTATTTTCATCCTTTCATGGCAAGCTGTTCATCTGATGGTTCAGTAAAAATGACAAATATTTGCAGATTAAGAGATCGTCAACAAGTAAAATCTATTATTTGCAATAATAATTTTATTATTTTGCTTTTAATTTTTACTGAGAAAAAAATTATTTTTTGCTTAGAAACCAATTCAAGTTACATTGTATCGAATTACTTATAATAAATTAACAAAAATTTATACATACTGGGATAATGTCAAATCTACAGTACGTGTATATATATATATATATTATTAGTTATTAGTAAAGACTTTTTTAAAATCACTATATGGTGATGTCAATAATTTCATTTATTAAAAATAGGAAACAACATACACAACTGTTAATGTTGATAATTACAACCATTTTTTTCAGCCAGAAGTTTCAGTTCAACATGTATGTTCTTTTAATTTTCTATATGATTATATATATATAAATGCATGTATTTATCTATTATTGAAAAAATTACTTGATGAATTTATAAAGGTTATTTGGAATCCAAATTTTGATAGTGGTACTTGGATTGCTTCTGGTGGTTCATCAGGTTTAGTAAGGGTTGAAAATACAGATTATAAATAGTAACTATTAATAGTTTAAATAATAGTCATGTGTTATAATTAATTTTCCAAGACAATGAACTGAATCCCCACAGATTTGTAATAAAAATAGACAAATCGAAAATGAAAAAAATCTTTTATTTGTAACCATTCATTATCTAGAGTCTTGCTTATTTATTGCAAACGAAAGAAAATCTGACTGCCGTAAACATAAAAAAATCTTGATTTGGAAATTATTTTAAACATTGACCAATCATTAAACACATTTCTTTAAAATACGGTATGACAGATTTCAATAATGCAACAGGTTTTTTTTCTCACCACTAAAGAAAGATATATAAGAACTTTGAGAAGTTTTAAAAAAATATATTTCCCAATATATAACGAACAAAATAATCAATAAAATACATAGTAATTCAATCAATAAATTTTTTAATATATAAACCTTTTTGTTTTAAATGGATTCAAGTAAATCAATCATTAAATTTTAAATATATAAATCTTTTTGTTTTAAATAATAGATTCTCAAGTAAACATGAATCCAGCTAAAAAAAACAAAATTGACATGGATGTAAGTTATCTAATTTTACGCTGTTTTAGAAAATTAATTTATAATGAAAAAATACACTTAAAAATATATTCGTTTAATTTTGTAGAAACTCACTGAGGATGAAAAAAGACTGTTTCGTATGTATGGAAGATTACCTACAAGAAAAGACATTTTAAGTCATAATTCGAAGGTACAACAACAATATTAAAAAAATATATATATAAAAAACATTGACAACAAGTATCATATGATGAAATGTTGTTTTTGAAAGAAGTTAATAATTTCTTTTTTTTTTTTTTTAATCAATAAAGAATTAATGGTTTTTAATTTAAATTTAAATTAAAATATATTTTCTCATCATTATTTAATATTATTCATACATCTCGACTTATACTCACACATAACTTGTTAACACGGTATATTATTATTATACGCAGGAACGTAAATATTTTGATTCTGGAGATTATGCACTTTCCAAAGCTGGAAAAACTATTGGGCCTGTTGGAGTTCAACATCCATCACCTGAAACTATTCCTCATGCTATTTCTCCCACGACACATAACTCTTCACCAGTGAAAGAAAGTTCTTTGGTTTACGAAGCAGAGATTGAGGAAAAGGCATCTGACAATGGTAGCGAAGTTGAATCACAATCTATCAAAAAAAATCCTTTTAATGTTGGTGATAACACTACCTCCAAATCCACCGATACAAGCACAACACCAACAACAACAACACCAACCACGCCAAATATTCCTCCAACACCAAATCCAACACCAAATTTTTCCAACAGTCCAACACCTTCAGAAACTGAATCATGAAAAAGTTACAAGCTCATGATTTAAAATGAAAAATAAAAGTAAAATAAAATTTTAATTTAAAAAATTTAAAATCTTATTTTTATCGTTCGATATTATTTTTAATATTATTTTTGATCCACCAAAATTTTGTTATTTCGTTGTAATTATCATTTAAGAAGTTTATTTTATTTATATATATATCTTTATTTATTTTTTTTTTTGATTAAAAAAAATAGTGATAAATCAGAACAAACATTCGCAATATTTTGTAATTGATAAATTATAATGGCAAAAATCATTATCTTTTTTTTCAAAAAATAAATTAAAAATGTAGAAATCAAAAGTAAAAAGAATGAAAAAAGTGAGAGCGAGTGATTTTAATGAACATGTTCTCGCCATTACTACTATCTGATAATCAAAGATCACATGATAGTCATCAAGTAATTTACTTAAAATAATTGGTTAATCTAGTTTTTAAATGATTGATCGATAGATAGCTTTAAATTTAAAATATTGGTTTTGGCCATTGTTTCCAACTATTCTCGTTAAAACTTGTCGAAACTTGTTGTTGAATGAATGAAAATAAAATAAATAACCTTGTTATATAATAAACAATAAAAACTAAACAATTATCATCATCATTCACGCACGATTATCTGTCTGTATAAATTTGTATAATCTAAGTGGACGAAAAAAAATAAGTATTTCTAAAAATGGCATATTATAATAATTCATTTGATCAAAGTTCTCCATTATTTATCACACAAAAAATGTAAAAATATAAATGAATGGACAAAATTACAAGTTTTTTGATTACGAGTTCAAGCTTTTTGAATTTCTCCAAAAAGTATATTGATTGTAAGAGTTTTAATTAGCTTAAGCTATAAGATCGTGTTACAACAACAATTATCACTATCGTTATCATTAAGTCAAAATTTAAATATTCCACCTCGGAGTGGTACAAATTTCCAAAATTCTTTATTATTTTAATAAAATCACAAAAAACAATAGCAACCAATGTGAACAAATAAATGTAGATCACAGCTTATTAAAACATTTACTTAAAGTAGAAGAAACCTTCTATTTAGAATTTCTACCAACTCACTATTTAATATATATATATATACACTGGCTTAATCTATTCCTCCTACTATACAGTGTGTAACGCGATCTACATGCGCACATTCCATAATCAAAAAAAATATATAATAATTTTCTTTAACATTCATAAGTTGTTTTTTCCATTTTTTACTTTCCCAATGCATCTTTTATATGCTAAAATCTTCTATTTCCAGTTCATTCTATTTTTATAATTACACGGATTTTTGTTTTCTGCACAAATTTTTAGTCACACGGATACCGTGAAACGTGATACGCGCCCGTTGCGCCCATTCGATTTTTCTCACCGCTTTTTGCTATCAATCAATCAATCAATCAATTCTGCTACTAATTAATCAATCCTAATTACAAATCCACCTCCTCCATTACTATCCACACCATTACCAATTCGAAAATATGGTTTCAAGCACAGCCACCTTTTTCGTTAAAACGTGGATACATCACTAAATTAAATTTGAGGCTGTGGGTAAAAAATAATCCAAACATAGTCGTTTATTTGCTGATCATAAAAGTTTTAAATGATTTTAATGATGTAATCATAATGCATATATATACAGCATCATTATTTAATATTATATAATATCACTCCATCATTCAAAACATATTCAATATATATATATATATATAATATCACTCCATCATTCAAAAATCAATATATTCAATATCATATATATATAATATCACTCCATCATTCAATCAAAGTATTAAATATCACATATATATATATATCGTGTATATATATATATATCTATATTATATATATTGAAAATTCATTTTTAATTAGTTAGTTGCTTTTTTGGCAATTTAAATATTTAAGTAGTGAACTAAAATATAAACATACATTCACAATTACACATATACGTAAGTATTATTACATCTTTCTCTCACACGTCAAATGATGTTTATTAAAATAATAATTTTTCTAAGTTTGGTAAGTTCACAAATAATTTTGGTCTAAAAATAAACTGATTTTGTGACAAACAAAAAACAAATAAGTCTTTGGAAAAATAAAAATCCTATTTTCGTTAACGTGATGCAATACCCCAATTTATTATTATTATTAAAAAAAAAATTTATGCTTAAAAACTAGCTTATTATGAAAATACACGGCTTAATTATACAGCATAAACCTTAACACAACATCATTATGCGTAAAATAAATAAATAGATAAACATAATAGTAATTTGATTGTCCCATTCATGTGTGAAAACAAACAAAACCATTTTATAATTATATGATTTATTTATTTGTAAGAATTTTAACGCCTTCGTTACACTTGTATAAATTCATTGATTAAAAAATCACGCGATTTCTATCTATTATTTTAACGATATAGAAGAATTTTTTTACATATTTTTTGACTACACATTAAACATATTAATAAACATATTAATAAACATATATTAATAAACATATTAATATACATATGATAATGTACAAAAATTATATTCTAAAGAATATTCTATTTTTAAAGCAATTATAGAAATAATATAAATATAGTATTATGTATTTATGTATTTATGTATTTATGTATTTATGTATTTATGTATTTTATGTATTATATATTTTTTACATATATTATCTACATACATAAACAGGGTTTCGTAAAAATAAATCTAGATAATAAAGGAAATAACCTTAATTAAAAAAGAATAAAAATAAACCGTTTTGTAATAGTTGATTATCGCGTTAAAAAATCAATCAAGACTTTTTTATCGTTCGCGCTTTTTATTAAAGATATTAAAAGATGTGTATTTAAAATGCACATTAATTCGGTGTATGTATACGATATTGATGATGACAACTTGTAATACAAAATAAACTGCAATATTGTTACCGTGCGGTCTAAATGTATTTATAATTCTTGTGATCAAACAAAATAAATATACAACAATACCAAGTTATCAATTCTAAAACCGCAATCATTGGTTTTCTTTATATGGATAGGTGGACGGATGGAAGTTTTAGATTGAGAGTTTGTTTTGTTAGAGGTGTGTGTGTGTGTGTATGTGTATGTGTGTGCGAATAAATTTATAAATAAATAGATTGATATAAACCTTTTTTTTTTTTTGATCTTGTAAATAAATCGTTCGCGAACGTTTTAAATCAAGAAAAATTAAAAATATCGTAATATTTTTAAATTGTGATTATTTTTAAAAAAAAAACCCAAATAAATAGCGTTTTTAAATAACATTTATCTATTTTTAGTCAAACATAATAAATAAAGACCCCAAAAATAGATTTCTATCAAAAAAAAAAATTTTACAATTATTTAAATTTATTTGAATTGTTTGCATATAAAATAAATAGTTCGTTTTTGATTTTCAAATTTCGAAATATAAAAAATTTTTATGAACGTAAACGTTAACATTAATAAACGTTAACACTAATTAATATCAATTTTTTACGCGGCAAAAAATTTATTAATCGATATATTATATTTAAATGTTTTATTAATCAAAACCTTTCTTGCAAACCATATCAATTAAATAATAATAACGATAATAACGATAATAATAACGATAATAATAACAATTACAACTACTATTACCAATAACGACAATAATCAATAGTTGAACGATTATGACTAATTCAAAAAGAAATAATCATGCTTCATCAAAAAAATTTGGATTGATGCAACAAGGTCAACAAAAAATCAAATTAGATATCAAAAAGCCTCGTTCGATCCTACCACCTTTAGAGTTACCTTACCCACCAAAAATTGAATTAGATAGTGTTGTGGCTAAACTTGTATCAAAACCAAAATTGGCACGTTTCCCTAATGCCTTTATCATGTATCGCAATGAATATGTTCAGTATTTAAAAGCTAAAAATATTCATCTATCGATGACTGAATTGTCACCCATGGTCGCAGCATCTTGGAAGAGAGAACCCGAATTTGTAAAAGATACCTATACTCAATTTGCTGGTGAGGCTGAAAAATTGTATATAAGAGCAGCTGCTTGTCAACAGCAACAAAGAATATATAAATTTCAAACAAGTCTATTACCACCGCCACCACCAACTCTTCCTCTTCCTCCTTTACCATCATTATCACCACCATCACCACCATCACCACCACCACCATCATCTCTTCATTTTCCTCCTTTACAATCACCTTCATCACCACCTCCACCGTCACTATCACCGTCATCATCATCATCATCATTACCACTACATCCTTCTATTCATGGCTCGCTAGAAAATTTCGTACAATTAGATGATGAATTTTTTTTACGTAATTATATGGATAACAATGATCACCAATATCATGACGATCATCAACAACATGATCATCATACTATACATTCAATAATAAATTCAATTAATTCACCTGAATCTTCTCCAGCCATGTTTTCTCCAGCCACATTTGATGATGAATCCAGTCAATCGTCATCACCACCAGATTTCAATCAAGATATTATTCATCATCATCAAGAGATTATTATTGGTGATCCAAATCCAATCATAACAACAACTACAACAAATAATAATGATAATTTATTGTTATCTAACATTGAAAGTGATTATTCATACCCTAACAATGTTATAAATAATAATTCGTTTTGTTGTACTCATTCCGATCATCACTCTCCTCATTATTTTGTCGCTCGTTTTTTTGACGATTGAGTTTATTATATTCATTACAAATATTTTTTTCTCGTTAAACAAACTAATTATTTTGTATAGAATTTGTCATTTTTTATTCATTTTCTTTTGTTAATATATTTATTCTATCTCCTTAAAATGTAAATGTTAAGTTTGTTTGTTATTGTTAGATATATATTATTAAGTAGTTATAGTTATAAACATACAAATGTACATATTACATATAACAATTTATAAAACATATACAAGTATTATTAATTGTATGTTTTTCTTTTATGATTATTACTTTTAAAATACATATAAATAAATAAAATTTTTTAAATCCATGCTGCGCAGTATGACCGAATTTTTAGCAAAAAAAAATATCATAATAATTTTTTGTATTAAAAAATTAGAGAGACCCCTACCTTACTTATTTATCAATTAATAGAGTTGAAGTTTGCACAAATAATAAGAGGTCTAAAGATATTATTTTTGCTTTTTCCTGTGTCAAACTTGTTTGCTGCTTGATTATTTTTGTTAATTGTTGTTCCTTGCAATTTTTAAGTAAGCCAAATGTATATTTTTGGTTCTCTTATTCTTATTCTGTTCAATATTTCTTTTTAATATTAAATTCAATTTGTCATATTGTGATAATCGAATGTTGATCGAATCATTAATATTAAATACCAAAATAAAAAATGCATTTCTTCCACTATATACCTAAGTTGTTTGGTGGATCTAAAGGAAATAATTGACGAGGATAGCATTCTGACAAAAGATGAACTTGTCAAAGACTGAAAATGCCATTTGGAGTACCAATAACAATTGCAGAGTTGGCAAGGTTTCATGTAAACACAGAGTTCTGCATTCGAAGATACAAATCCTTTGTTTCCTGTTTGATTACGTAAACCTACGCAGGGTTCAAAATCGGCCAGCATTATGTCGAAATATTGGCAATTCTGGTAACACTTCCGCATAATCCTGGTCAATTTTAAGCCCTACATAGGTTTACGTAAGATTATTTTTCTGATGCTTACTGTAGCAATCTAGAAAAATCGGTAATAAACTTGGGTGGAATTTTGCTTTTACTGACTCAACCTCCGCGCGAGTTTGAAGACTTGCCATAAAACTTTTTTATTCTAGCAACATATTATGTTGCAAAAGCTCTCATGGCTGAAATTGGTACTGAATTTATGAAACAAGCGCTTGTTCAGACAATGAATGTTCTGAAGAATCTTCTTATACAACAAACGAAACTTTTTTCAGCTTACTAAGAATGGAGCAAGCGGTGTATGTGTGGTACCTTCCTGGTTTTGAATGACAAGACACTGAAACTATGACAACAGTATTTGATATAATGTTCACTTTCAAGCGGTCAAGTAAGTAGACAATTCCATCCGTCTAACTGAAGTTAAACGTTTCCGGTGTGTGGCACAAAACTTAGCTGAGTTAATTTGTATATATTTAGCTGCATTTATTATGTAGGAGAAATAGACCAATATTAAACGAAGATCATTTGGAGTATGTCTATGGCAGGCATGGGTTGATAATGATACTGGTCCATTGGGTTCCATCGGCGTAACATTTTAACAATACTTATATAGTATTTTATCAATGTCAATGGACCAGACCAAAACTTATTGGTCTCAATTGACCCTGTCTATTTCCAACCCTGGTCTACAGTGAGCACAAAAGGTTTACGGTATTAATTTGAGACAAGAGGTAGACTTGGTGTGACAGAGGAGGAGAATATATGGAATTTATCTGTTGATTATAACAACAAGATTTTAATAGGTACTACATCGTGATTAATTACATTCAAATTTTTTACAAACCATATTTTATTTTACAATGTCGTTAGTTTTTGCAACCCATCAATGCACACAGTCTCCAATCTTTTATACCCTTCTAAAACCGCACTGGAAATTTTTAATTTGAATCAAGGATTTACAGTTTTTCCAATGAGAGAGCTCGACTCATTGCAACATACACTTGTCCTTCAGCAATCATATTTTTGTCAACGTTCAACCTTGAGTTTTATGAACAGTCAGAGAAAATGCATGAAATTGATTCCTTGATGCCTTCTTACCATAAACTTCAAAACAAAACGTTTCCCTTTGAACAATAACCTCAACATCTCTCCATCACGAATTTTATTACATATTTTTCACCAAATATAATAAGCATCAGGAGAGAGAACCTTTTTCGAAGAAAGCTTTGTCAATTCCTTCAACAATATTTTTTTTTCACATTTTCAAAAAGGCGTGGTTCAATATTAATTAAAATGATAATAACTAATTCCGAATTGTTGCGTTTTTTCAAAACGGTTTTAATATTAGAAAATAATAATAAAATCAATTCCGAATCGTTTTTTTTCAAACAAGGAATGGCCGTTTTAAATATTAGAAATAATACAATAATAATAAATAATAAAATCAATTACAAATTGTTACGTTTTTTCCTCCAAAAAAGGCAAGACCTTTTCAAAAAAAGCTTGGTTGATTTCCTTTAATTAATATTAATAATAACGAATTAATTACAAATTGTTGTTTTTCTAATTTCTTATTAGCATTTTTTAGTAACAGGAAAGAAACCTTTTCAAAAAAAGTTTGATTGACAATAATGAATTAAATTCAATTGTTTCTTCACATTTTTGGAAAAGGCTTGATTTTAATTAAAAATAATACAGATCACCCCCGTTATAAGAACGCTCGTTGTAGTGACATTTTTTCAAAAACAAATTTTTATAATAATAAGTATAGAATTTACTCCCGTTATGGTGACATCCGTTATAAGGACATGTCAATCAAATACCACCAATAACTGACAAATTTATTAATAGATAACGATAAATTCTGATAATGTTTAATGTTTTCAAATTACTAATATTAAATCAAGTTTATTTTTATTAACACAACAAAGTATTTATTATTTTCAATTCAATGATGATAAGGTTTCTTTGTGTTTTTGATTGATCTCTTATTAACAATAAAGAAAAATTTTAAATTGTTTTTTTTTTTTGATATTATGAAGTACCTACACTTTCAAAAAAGACAAAGAGATTGATTTGTGATGAAGTATCTTTACATTTTTAACAATAAAGAAAATTTGTTCATATATAATTGGTTTTTTTTAGTGACGTTTTCAAATTGTTTTTTATATAGCCTTTTTTATGATCACATGATTTTCATTAAATTCCGTTATAAGGACATCTCGTTATACGGACATTTTTTGCGTGTCCTTATTATTTATAATGGTCACGATCAATTATCGTTAAATAAATTGTTTCCCCCAAAAAATAAAATAAAAATAGAAGGTTCTTTGTACAATACCATGCGCCTTATCAATACTTTTTATAATAAGAAAATGCCAATGACAAAACAAAAAGAAAAGAACTAAAGAAACGGCAACAAGAAATGAGTAAGTATTACCAGAGCAGGATTCTAATAAGATCATTAAGGGAAAAAATGGTGATGGTGATTATTGATCTGAAACACGTCGTTCTAGTTGCCAAATTAGCAACAATTTGTAAATCAATTCAATCGATCGGAATATATCATATCGTGCGTGCGTGAATGATAAAGAAAGCGAAGATGGCTTGACTCAACTAATTAAGGCACAAAATAAAATAGAGGAATTAACAATCATTAGTAACAATGTGGAAGAGTTGGTAGATGATGATATTATCGTCCGTACTACTTTATCAAAAAACGATATCACGATCATTCAAGCAATGGAAAAATAGTATAGAACATACATTAACACCAACACTTGAAAATTTAAAGACATTATTATTTTTTAGATTATTTGAAGATGTTTCACTTCTAAATATCGATTGTATATTTTTACGTGTTGATAGCAGGCTTCCATCAGTACTGCAGTCTGATTTGTCTCAATTTAAAATCTTTGTGGATGTAATTTGAATCAATTTCACAATATTGTAAAAATCTAATAGAACTATTGATATGTTATAGACAGGAGTTAATTAGAAAGGATTGGATTTAGAAATGATGGTAATAGTGTAAAAATCAGTTGCAATCAAAATTTTTCAAATGATACCAAGCAAATTGATGAATAATGGAAAAGGGCTGAACAGCAAAATATTATTATTGAACGTATAACAAAATATCAAGATTCAGGAATTTTAAACTAAATCATATTTTTTAATTTATTTATAATGCTTACTGCTCATTAAAGTGTATATATTTATTAAAGATTTACTATTTATTATGTAATAATAATGATTTATCATTTTCACTATTGCTATAAATTCTCTATATAAAAAAATGGAAAATGGAAAATCACCAAAAATTACATTGAATTCAAGTCGTGACTACTTTTATATCTTGTAATAATCCATTTTCATCATTATCACGCAATAAAATTGAAAAAGAAATTGACAAAGAAACCAACAATTTTCAATCTGATGAAGGATAATGATGATGATGATATGATTGTTCTTCACAAGAACACAAACATGATAAATATGGATCTGAATATTGATGAGTCAAATCAATCAAATTGTTATTATCAAGAACATTTAGAAACACCGCCACAAATACCAGAATCATCATGGCCCCAAAATGAACAGATTCACATATGGGACGTTTCACAGCAAAAACCACCTCTGGGGTTATCTCACCAAAATTGAGCTTTTTACATAATATTGATCTATAATATATAAATCATAATTGGTGAAAATATTAGACCCTATTTGCTTAATAAAAAAACGGGAATTCACAACGGATATCTTCTTTAAAGTAATTTGCATAATTTAAAATTTTAAAAAAATAATTTTTTTTTAAAAAATACATACATATTAATATTAATATACATTAAAATAAAATCAATAAATATTAGGTTTATACATGAAGTCGAAACTATTTCAACCATTCGCAGATCTGGTCAAAATAGGGTCGAAACTGATTTTTACTATGTAGTTGCCTCAAGTTGAAACATTTTGACTTTGGGGTTTTAATTTCGACTTCATGTATAATGATGACCCGTGCAGGCCTCTATTATGAATAATAAATCTGATGTTGATCATAGGTGTCAGATTTAATTAAATTTCCTACCACAAACATGCAAGACTGTGCAATTAAGCACAATTCAGCACCATGGAATTTTTTCCCACAGGTGAAACAGACTTAAACATGTTGGAAGGCTTGGACAAAATTTTCCCCTTTCTTCCTTTCAGACCAGGCTTGACTGTGGAATGCTTGCTCACCAACAACCCTACCCCCATTTATTTAAATAACAAATTCAGTTGGCCAAATAAAAATTAAAGAGAAGCAGAAAATGATTAATTTATATGGAACATACCAAACAAAATCTGAACCATTTTATTTTACAGCTTTCTCCTTGATGCCAGTGATCATGGTGACTATCACAATA